TCCAGCGATTCTGCCATAAGGACTATATCGTCGGCAAATCGAAGGTGAGTGATGTACTCGCCATTGATGTTGATACCGTATCCTTTCCAGTCCAGAAGCTTGAAAACATCTTCCAATGCAGCGGTAAAGAGTTTCGGGGATATGACGTCACCCTGTCTTACACCTCTCTGCAATTGGATAGGTTTCGTACTCTGGTTCTGTACTCGGCTAGCCATCGTAGCCCTACTGTACAAGCACTTCAACACTTCGATATACCGACAGTCAACTTGGCATCGCTGAAGGGACTGCAGCACCGCCCAAATTTCGACGGAATCAAAGGCTTTCTCATAGTCCACATACGCCAGACATAGTGGCAAATTGTACTCCTCGGACTTCTGTACAATTTGCCGAAGGGTATGTATGTGGTCTATGGTGCTAAAGCCTTTTCGGAAACCGGCTTGTTCGGGAGGCTGGAAGTCGTCAAGTCTGCGCGCGAGACGATTCGTAATGACTCTCGAAAACAGCACGTAGACGCGGCTCAGAAGGGAAATCGGTCTGTAGTTCTTCAAGAGAGCGTTGTCGCCTTTCTTGAAGAACAAGACCACCGCACTTCTGCTCCACGCCTCCGGTGTAATGCCACCATGAAGGACGGAATTAAAGAGCTTCTGAAGGACTTCAAGTACCGGTTTTCCACCCGCTTTCAGAAGCTCCGCTGTAATTCCATCCTCGCCTGGGGCCTTGCCGTTTTTAAGGTGCTGGAGAGCCATTCTAATCTCGCTCAGACTGACGTCCGGGATATCATCGGAATAATGTCGGATAAGACTCGCTCTTGGATCGTTACTCACACTTGCGTGCGGCTCCAACGATGACGTGTACAGCTGCCCATAGAACCTCTCAATCTCACTCAAAATCTCAGGTGCCCCGGAAACGATGCTGCCACATTCTGTCTTTAGCTTTGACAGTTGGCGCTTTCTGGCAGACAGATCTCTGGCAAAGACTTTGGAGCCTTGGTTCCGCTCGATCGCTTCTTCAATACGAGCTGTATTGAATTTGCGTAAGTCCCGCCGCATGCATTTGGAGATCTGTCTGTTCAGTTGCCTGTATGCTGTTAAATCTGTTGAAGAATGTAGCTTCATCTCCCGTCTAACAGCCATGAGATTAAGAGTGTGATCGGAGAGTTTTTGTGTTCTTCTGCGGCGGGTCTTGCAGAACTTAGCTCCGACCGCATGGACAGTTTCCACGAGCTTGTCATTCAAATCGTCCACTTCATTGCAGTCTTCTAGGCACTGAAAACGGTTTTGTAACTCGAGCTGAAAGGTTTCGGGACTTTGGATTAGAGCACGAGGGGGACGGAGCGTTGACTTCATTAGACGAGACCTCTCCAACTTAACGTTTAGGTTCAGTGTGCCTCTAACCATTCTCGCGATCACTGAGACATCACTGAACAGTTGTCGTCTGGTCGTCATAATGAAGTCAATCTCATTTTTTGTCGAACCGTCGGGGCTCGACCAGGTCCACTTCCTGTGGGGCCGCTTCTGGAAGAAAGAGTTCATCATAAAGAGTCCCTCTTTCTCCATGAAGTCGGCCAGCTGCTGGCCCCTTGGGTTCCGTTGCCCTATTCCAAATTTCCCTACTTTCAGCTCACCGTTCTCTCTTGTGCCTAGTTTTGCATTGAAGTCTCCCATTAACACCGTATATTGGGTTTTGGAGGAATGCATGGCTCTAGAGTTATCCTCATACATTTCCTCCACCTCCTGATCGGGGTGTGCCGAGGTTGGTGCGTAAACCTGTATGACCTTCAGCGAATACCGTTTGGTGATTCTGAGTATAAGGTACGCAACCCTCGTCGACACACTCTCAATCTTTACAACGTTGTTAACGAGAGACTTGTGGACGATAAATCCGACACCTCCTTGGGACAGATGGTCGCCCTCCCGGTAATAGAGCAAGTTGCCGGATTCGAGGATTACCGTGTCCTCCCCCTCTCTTCGGACTTCGGATAATCCTATAATATGCCAGCGTAACTTGTCTATCTCTTCTTCCAGCTCCACAATCTTCTCGTCAGTCCTCAGGGTGCGTGCGTTGTATGTTGCCAGGTCGAGTCGTCGTAGGTGGCAACCGAACCTCCACCGGAGATTCTTAGCACCCCCTGCCCCGCCGTTACCATGGTCGCCACCGTAGCCAGGAATAGCGGGGCCGCCGGGGACTGGGGGCCGTTTATTATTGTCATTGCTCATGGGGGGTATATTGCCATAGTTGCCACGCTTGGCGAGCGGGTTGGCAACCGCAGTTTTTTTATTGTTATTTTGGCTATTATCAGGAAGATGCTGCTGCCCATCTCCTGCCTGTTTCCCTTTGTCGCCTTTTACGACACCCACGGGAAGATATGGGGTAGTGGATATTCTTAACCGCCACTACACGGTATCTACATCAGCGCAAAAAAATAATGTGGGGCTCACAGAATTTGTAGATACCATAACACTAGAAAGAGCAACACACAAAATCGTAAGCAACACATTATTTATAAAAATAATTATACAGCTAAAATTCTAAAATTTTTATTAAAATTAAAAGTTTTATCTTCTATCTATACATATAATAAAAATGTAAATAGCAGATGTCTGTACATTTTATATTTTTGTAATAAGAGTGATTGAGAGGTACTAAAAATAAGTAATTAAATACATTTCTACCATTTTTAGATTTTTCTGTCTGTCTGTCTGTCTGTTTGTTTGTTAACGTATCACGTATAAAGTACTAATTTATATCATAAGAATAGTTAAGAAAATTATTAAGTGTATATTCAGGTTACATTTAGTCTTTATTTCATTAAAATTGGTTAATTCCATCAAAAGTTATGACAAATATTCTGAAGTATGGGTACTAAGTATAGGTACGAATTTGTTCAATAGTGGCGTTGGATGAGTCATCAAGTACATTTTAAAATTAATATCATATTATAAATCATAATTAAATGATCATAATGTTCTATAATGATATAATTATATCTAAAACGCAGTAAACAAAAGTATTACATAAAGAACGTAATAAATATATACAAAATATATTAACCTTATTATCTAAACTAAATTAAAGTACAATAGTTAACCAATTTCATCGATAGATGGTGGTGTGGCATAAATGTGATACAAAAAGGCAGGTTAAAATTTATTCCTGTAGTTGAGTTTCATATTTGCTTCTAACCTTTATATTAATGACACGCTGCCCTACTGCATGTTGACAATCTGATTTATTTTTTATTTTTTTACCGCCGAGTACTCTATGTGGTAAATCAAATTTTAAGAGCTATTAACAATTTCGTTTTTCGGCGAGGATCAAACTTTCTTTTTTGCTTACTATGCAGGCACTGATTTATAAGTTCTTTTATGTTTTTTATTGATTATATCGTTTGAATTAATCTCTTATTTTTAGAATTGATGTTAACAGCGCCATCTCTCTTAAATCTATACATATAATAAAAATGGTAATAACATGTTGTCTGTTTCTGAATATTGTATAGTATATTAATTTGCGACTAAAATCATTATGGGGACTGTAAATCATTAAATAAGTACATTTTTATAACTTTTAGAATTGTACTATCTGACGGTCTGTCTGTTTGTTTATGGACGCATGACGTTTTGAGTAAATATCTTTTTTTTTCAATGAAATCCTTAAGAAAATCATAAAGCGTATTATCAAGTTCATTTAATCTTTGTTTTATTGAAATTGGTTAATTCTATCGAAAGTCATGATTATTATTTTGAAATGTAGGTTCGAATTTGTTTAATGGCGCCACAAAATCCCAGAAATAGTAATAAAAAGATTCGTGTGTAAAAAAAACGTTCTATTATAATATATTTCGTATCGTTCTTTTATAGTACTTAAAACACAGTAAAAATATGTTTTCCTTAAATTAAAAAAGGATGTTTTCTCACAAAGAACGTAATAGATGGCGTTGTACAAATTTCAACCTTTTCTGAATTGCGGTGTTAAGATTTTTCGCAGGTGAATCGTATTGAGACTCACTGTAATAATTTACGTCCATGACCATATTAGAGATGAGACGTATTTACGCTACCAGGTTTTAAAACCAGGTATTCACTTCAAAGTACGGCGCCTTGGTACTAGGAAAAAATACTTGCAAGTATGAAAATACTTGCATAGGAAAATTATCCATATTTTTATAGTAATAAGAAACTCAATCGCATTTGTGAAAGAAAAATACTTTGAACTTCAAAGTATTTTTTTTATTTATACAACTTTGCTCATTATTCATAGTAGGATAACATGGAATACGGGTGAAATTCCTATGCAAGTATTTCCAAACTTTGACACCGCGGCTGGACACGTCGCTCGCGTCGCTATGAGACCACAGAATACTTTACTCCTAGCGGAGATATGAGACGTATTTACGCTACCAGGTTTTCACTTTAAAGTACGGCGCCCTTTTACGACCAAAAAATACTTGCAAGTATGAAAATACTTGCATAGGAAAATGATCCATATGCCAATATTAATAAGAAACTCAATCGTATTAAAGAATGAAAAATACTTTGAACTTAAAAGTATTTTTTTATTTATACGACTTTACTCCTTATTCATGGTAAGATAACATGGAAAGCGGGTCGAATTCCTATGCAAGTATTTCCAAACTTTGACACCGCGGCTGGACACGTCGCGTAAGTAATAAGAATTATATTTACATTCGAGGAAGTAAAAGTTTTGTTTCAATGTTTTGTAAATTTAGTTGTTATTGTGTACTGATTACGTAACCCACTGACCGTGACATAATTTTAAATAGTTATTTCGCGTATATATTGAATTTAGAGACAATTTAAAAACTTTTATTAATTAGTGTCGTACGTAAATAAATAAAACTGAATATTATTGTGTTTATTAGTTGGAAGTGACGACTTTTAAACTGTATATAATAGTGTGTAAATAGTGTTTTTTGTGTATAGATCATAGGTTTTTGTTGTTAATAGTAAATAGATATTCCTAAATACAAATCCATAAGTATGGCTCCTAAGAAAAGTTTGGCGTGGGATCATTTTATGGACAAAGGAGAAAGTAAAGCCGAATGCAAGATGTGCAAAGTAATTATATCGTACAAATCTGGAGTGTCAAACCTTACCAAACATGTACAGAGAAAACATATTTCTGTTAATTTGGTGAGAAGGGAGCAAGAAGTGGAGCGTCAAGAGGTACCGGCACATGCTTCACAAGGTACACAATTTACGACATCTAATACTCCATTGCAAACTGACGCAACACCTAGTACGATAAGGTCCAATAGAGTCATTATGCCTACTATCTCATCATTCCTTCGACGCGATTGTCAAAAAATAAAAAAGCAAATTGATGATCATTTGATGAATTTATTTATATGGGACTTGCAACCATTTTCTATAGTGGAAGACAAGGGGTTTCGCGAATTTATAAAGTTTGCTTTCCCAAATTATACGATACCATCGCGAAAATATTTCGCCAATAATTTATTGCCAGGGTGGTATGAAGAGGTAAAAACTAATACTAAAGCCGCTCTAATTGAAGATGCAAAAAGTATATGCCTAACGACTGATATGTGGACGTCGAGAAATAATGACTCGTATTTAGCGGTTACGGGTCATTATATTGATAAAAATTATAGATTGCAATCAGTGCTCCTTGAATGTAAAGTGTTAGAAAGTCGTCACACAGGGCTAAATTTAGCTGAAGAGTTAAGAAATGTCGCTCAAGAGTGGAATATTCTTGACAAAGTCCTCCTTGCAGTATCGGATAATGGTGCCAACATCAAAAGTGCTTTAGCTCAATTAGAGTGGAAACATTTTGGCTGTTATGCGCATACGCTTAACCTGGCAGTCCAAAAAGTATTAGTAAGTTCTTACATAAGGGACTTAATTAGTAAAGTGAAGGCTATAGTTTCCTACTTCAAACGAAGTAATTTGGCATGGAATAAATTGAAAAAATACCAAGAACAGGCTAATAAAGTTGTAAAGAGGCCAATCCAAGATGTTGCTACAAGGTGGAACTCCACATTCTACATGTTACATAGGTTTGCAGGGGTGTCACTTCCACTATGGAAGGTATGGAGCACTCCATACCTCAAGTTTTTCAAGGTATGGAATTCCATAGCTGAAATTAGGAAATAAATCGCATATTACTACAAACCCCATATAAATAAATCGCAAGCCCTTAAACCTCAATACCCCACATCTTATAGTTCAATAAATAAGTTGAATATATACACTGCAAACTCTTAAACCTTAATACCCCACGAGTAATGCGAACAAATTTGAAAATCGCGCCACCATTTTCCATACCTCAGATTTTTACAAAGTGACACGTCTGCAGGTTTGTGGAACTAAAAGATGAAATTAAATGTTCACTTAGTAACCTAGACACCGGTAATTTAATTATGTTAACCAGTTATGAATGGGATATATGCCAGTCGTTGATCATAGTGTTACAACCGTGTGAAGAAGCGACGAGAGAAATCAGCGGCCAAAGATATTTAAGTGGAAGCTCAGTCATTCCGTTAACAATTGGTCTCACCAGCGCTCTCAACGAGATCGCAAGTTCGACATATCGCCAAGAAAATAAAATCTCCGTTTTCCCTGATGAAGTTGAAATGTGCCGACAGGATCTCCTCTCAGAAATAAGCACGCGATTTTCTAATTTGGAACAGAGTCGAACTTACACTGTCGCTATGTTTCTAGACCCGCGGTATAAGTTATACTTTGAGAGTGAAAACGTTGCGGACAATACTAAAAAGCATATCATAGGCCTAGTAACCACGATAATTAATGAAAATGAAAGATGTCAGTCTTCAGCATCAACTTATGATAAGCCAGATAACCAGGAAAAAAAATCTAACAGTCTAATATGGAAGCACTACAATAAGCAAATGCAAAATGTAAGACCAGCTGGGACCGCCCATAGCAGGGCAATAATTGAAACTCAAAAATATCTAGATGACGCAGTTTTGTCTCCAGATATGGATCCTTTGGAGTGGTGGCGAATGAATCAAACAATTTATCTAAATTTAGCTAAACTGGCCAAAATAAAATTAAACGCCATGGCCTCTAGCGTGCCTTGTGAACGGTTGTTTTCTGTAGCAGGGAACATATTAACGGAGAGGAGGACCCGTTTGGGAAGTCGTAAAGTAGAACAGTTATTGTTTCTACAACAAAATAAAAAATAAATAAAAAAAATTAACAAAAAGTACCAAAAAATAAATAAAAAAATATACAAAAATAAACTAAAATAACAAAAAAATACAAAATCACGTATGTATATAAAATGAAATCTTTTAACTACGCCTGCTAATACAAGTTTCTATTCTAGCTTATGTCAAAATACCGTAAAAACACAATATATTTAGCAGACAGTCCTAAGCCTGTGATTTAAAAAGTAGGAAGGAAAGATTTCATTTCGTTTAACAACAAAATTAAAAAAAAACGTTCAATCAAAATTGTGGCCCGACTCGAACTAGTCATTCATATTTCATATATGTATTGACACTAACAAATACTTTCAAGTATTTTTAGAACCTGGTTTGGGACCCTGGTATTTTTCCATACTCGTACTTACAAGCCCTGGTATTAAATTTTGCAAGTATGTCCCATCTCTAGACCATATACCTGACGAAGCTACAAGCCTGTAAGGTATATGTATACAGAGGTATTGAAATATTTAATTTAATTATTCAACAAAACTCGACTTAAAGTAGCAAAATTGCAATTAATGTCGTGATAGTGATATTGTTTTATACCCAGAATCCCTCTAATACCAAATAACTTCTTTTTCAGTTTTAAGTAAAGTTGCAGCCTATTTACGTCCCACTGCTGGGCACAGGCCTCCTCTCATATCTGAGAGGGTTTTAGGGCAAGGAAATGTCCACCGCGCTGCCCCCATACGTGTTGGCGAACTTCACATGTCATCGAAATATTTTTTTTATTTCTCAAACATGCAGGTTTCCTCACGATGTTTTCCTTCACCGCCGAGCACGTGGTAAATCAGCACTTAAAATTGCAATTAACAATTTCATTGGTGCCGGCGGGGATCGAACCCGGGTTGCTCGAGTACTATGAAGCTTACAGCGAGCGCTAACCATCTGAGCTACCACGGCTCAGGCTTCAGTTTTAAGATAGGGATAATAACATCGATGTTGGCATCGCTAGCTCAACATCGATGTTCGATGTTTAGGCTACTCAAAACATCGATGTTGACCATTATCGATGGTTTTTGTATATGTGTAGATACTTACACATTGTTTTAAAATTATGTGTATGTGGGTATACACAGCAAGGGAAAAGTAACAATTAACTTGAATATCAATTTATGTAGAATAGTTATTATGCGACAACCGACAACGACACTACAAAATAAAGCGAAAGCAGTGACCATTGTGACATTACAGGAGACACTTGACAATTAAGTTTGACTCACCATACTGACATGTTTTTAGATTAACGATGCGTTCAGAAATTCTGAATTATTCAAAATTTTTAATCTTCAGAGCAGATGCAAGATTTAGTTGATATTGATTTCGCGAGTTCGCATTGTTTGCAAGTTCCCAATTATCGATTATGGGTTCATTGACGTCGATGTTTCGATGTTTGACATATGTCAACATCGATGTTAAAACATCGAAGTTTTAATTTTTAACATTGATGATCATCTAACATCCCTATTTTAAGTGTGTTTCCCACTCAGCGTGTGTTATGCGACGATCGTAAATAAAGCGCAAGGTCAAACTTTACGCGTCAGTACTGATTGTTTTGCACATGGCCAGCTCTATATTGCTTTTTCTCGCGTTAGTAGTCCCCGTAACCTTTTTCTGTACGCCCCGGCTAAGTCTACTTCTATCGTCGTTTACACAGAAGCTCTATCATAAACGACTTAGAACTTTGAGAATATCGATTTATTTTGTTACCACTTATTCATAGAGTAATGATATAAATCGGTTAATATTCTCTTACCCTAAACGTCAAATTCTTTAAGTAAAACCTATATTCGCGAGCTACGCCGCGGGCACAGCTAGTTAGAAATAAGTCTCGTTACTAAATTAAGGTTCTATAAATTAAGAGAATTTAATTTATGGAACCTTAATTGACAAGGTTTTGTCAAATTTAATGACACACTTTTGTCAAATTTAAATGACACACCTGAGTGACACACTTGTTTTTAGCTTGGGTCACAGATAAGTTGTCTTCTTACAATGTGTTAATTTTTGATATTTGACAATTGTTTTTATGTGAATTTAGAGAACTTTTTTAAATAAGTATCACATATCATTTTACTATTCTAATTATTATAAAATATTAATAAATAATAATAATAATAATAATAATAAGCATTTATTCATTACCACCAATAAAGTTAAAATGAGTACATACAGAAATGACAAGTATTACATAATGTAGTAATGAATGGGCTCTAGCTCAGCATAAATGTTGCAGTTGCCTACAACGCTGTTATTCTGCCAGCGCCCAACATATGAACAGTACAGTACGCGCGCATCCCTTTAATCACAACTATTCACATTAGGGTACATACCGTGGATCCCCGACTATTAGCCAGTTCAAATTAATAATCAAATATATATATTTTTATTACCATTTTTTTTAAATAAATAAATAATTATTACAACAATATAACTAATAATAAGTAATATAAATTATAAAATAATATTGATATTAACAAGCCTAACTTCTTTAATCTCATATAAGTTGTTTCCCCACCTACTACATAGCAATGTTTATTATTTGTTTTAAGTATTTACAGGGCGGTCCTGCAATTAGGTAAAAATAAACCGCTTATGACAGTATTTGTTCTCTTAGTAAGTGACGTTTATATTTCTTTTTAAAACTTGATTTACTTTTCGTAGTGCGTAGTGGTGGTGGGAGATCATTCCAACACTTAGTTGCCATAAACTTAAAATAAATCACTTTTTATATATTTATTCATTTAAAATCTAGAAAAAAATTAATTAAAAGTTATGTAATTATATTGGGAAACTTACATGTCAATACGTGCGGTGCGTGCGGCCGTCGGGTAACGAATATTATGTCTATTGTGATATTGTCTAGTATGTCTATGTCCTATCTACTATCTAGTGGTCACCGCCACGCCACAGTACACATTTAATTATAGGCAGGTACCGAAGGTCACTTGTCAGGCGGTCATTGGCTTCGATATTTTGATACAGATACAGATTGAAGGTCATTGGTTAGCGGTTACTAAAATTTTCCTCTACTCTTTGCTAAAATTAAAATAGACGTGTGCAGTGTTTCTATTTTGATGGTTTCAGTTTCCCAAGACTCGCCATTCCCCATTTATATATTATGTAATATTATTTATATATTTTATACAGATTTATCTATGAAGTTTTCGTTTTTATCGAAAAATTTAAATGAAATTTTTTACAAAAACTTTTAACTGCTTTTTTATATATAGAAAAGGTGACAAACCAGCACACAGTCCACCTGCTGGTAAGTGGATGTTGTGGCCCATAGACATCTACATTTATCCTCAATTAAAAATCAATATACAGATGCGTTGTCACCCCTGAAGACTTAGATGGAACGGCTCATTTCAAGTAAGAAGGGTCTCCGGTTCTCTACACTCACCATAAGAAATACAGCAGCATTAAGCTGCTATTTTAAGCTGGTATTCTGTGAGAGCGTGGTCCTTCCCCGGTAGAGCCGACCTATTCGTGCTACGACCATAATATAATCTGCAGCGTCGCTCAACCACATAAAAATTCTTCAGATTTGAAATTTATACTTATATAGTATGGTTATTTAAACTTCAAAAAAAGTGTAAGTCTGTTGGGCCAAGGTCCGGAGAACATGGTGGATGAGGAAAGATCTCCAGTTTTGGCTGTGCTAGTATTCCCAACGTCTGTTGTGCACTATATGGCCAGAACTTGTCATTAAAAAGCAAAGACGAAGAGCAGTTCATAAATCTAGGATGTTCAAGTGCCACCTCCTCTACCATTATTTATTTTGTAATTTTTGACAATATGCATAACACCAACAGCAGACCATAGATGGTACTATAAGTTTTTGGCAAATCTTTAATTTTAGGCAATGTTTGGCTTCGGCACGTGGATCGAATCACTGTATTAATGTTTACGTTTGTCGTATAGGTTCCTCTTCTTTCTCTTATTCTTCAAGGTAACAGCAGGTAAAATTTGACTCTTAATTCTCTTCTTTTGCCGATTCAGTAATATGATACAAGCTTTCACGTGGGTCTGTTGCTGTGCATAGCTCAATCGTGAGGTTTTTTTTTAATTTATTTATTCTTTATTGCTTTCCTTAATATAAAATAATACAAAGGGCGGGCTTAATGTCTTGAGGCATTCTCTACTAATCAACCCATGTTTTGACATTTACATGAAAAGCCGAATACTAGCTTTGCGATTGTCTAAGATGGATCTTCCCTTACCGCCTTTAGTTCATCATCATCGACCTTTTTCTTCGGGTGGCTACGAGGTTCATTTCTAAGGTCAAACTTTCCCTAATGAAAAATATTGAACCAATGACGTGTAGTTAGTTCAATAGTAATGCAAGGTCCGTATATGTCATTGATATTGCGTACCGATTGAGTCACAATTCATGTTCAAAAATTTTCTTCGAGTATAGATGCTTTTTTCGAAATTGTAGAATAAGCAAAGAAACAAATGAGTAACTGATAAAAAAAAAGAATAACATGCTAAATATATAATTCATTCGGTGGTTAAAGACATTTCGGATAAATTATAATGTTACACTCACCATTTATATTATGATTTATACATGGTTTCCATCTTTAGCCCTTTCCCCTCTTAAGTCTAAATTCCCCTAAAAAGGGGAATTTCCCCTCATTGTGTAAACACATGTCACGTGTGTCAATCGTGAACGAATAATATGTTGTTTGTCTAGTTGCTGTCATATTTTTACTATCCGGTTCAACCTAAGATAATGAATTCTAATGTCTATGGGTTCGACCAGTCATTAAGCTGGTGTATAATTGACTGTGTTTTGCGAAAGTGTAAGATCAAGATCAAGCATCAAATCTAGTTTAGGTACAATAATAATATTACACGAATGGGCTTTTTCTACTTATCATTTGAAATAAATATGCAGTTCGACCATTCTAGAATATCTACTAATTTTATACGGCAGAAAGGTTTTGTGGGCTTAATCATAGAAATTA